CCGCGCCTGGCGGGGATTTCTTTTTTTACTTTGCTTTTTTTTTTTTTTTTTGAGATGGAGTCTTACTCTGTTGCCCAGGCTGGAGTGCAGTGGCATAATCTCGGCTCACTGCAAGCTCTGCCTCCTGGGTTCATGCCATTCTCCTGCCTCAGCCTCCTGAGTAGCTGGGACTACAGGCGCCTCCACCATGCCCAGCTAATTTTTTTTAAAATTATTGTTTTTAGTAGAGATGGGATTTCACCACGTTAGCCAGGATGGTCTTGATCTCTGACCTCATGATCCACCTGCCTCAGCCTCCCAAAGTGTTGGGATTACAGGCGTTAGCCACCACACCTGGCCAGATGATGGGGTTTTCTAAACATACAATTATGTCATCTGCAAACAGGGACAATTTGACTTCTTCTTTTCCTAACTGAATATCCTTTATTTCTTTCTCTTGCATGATTGCCCTGGCTGGAAGTTCCAACACTATATTGAATAGGAGTGATGAGAGAGGGCATCCCCGTCTTCTGCCAGTTTTCAAAGGGAATGCTTCCAGTTTTTGCCAATTCAGTATGATATTGGCTGTGGGTTTGTCATAAATAGCTCTTATTATTTTGAGATATGTCCCATCTATACCTAGTTTATTGAGAGTTTTAGCATGAAGGGCTGTTGAATTTTGTCAAAGGCCTTTTCTGCATCTATTGAGATAATCATGTGTTTTTTTGTCATTGGTTCTGTTTATATGATGGACTACATTTATTGATTTGTGTATGTTGAATCAACCTTGCATCCCAGGGATGAAGCTACCTTGATCATGTTGATAAGCTTTTTGATGTGCTGCTGGATTAAGTTTGTCAGTATTTTATTGAGGGTTTTCACATCGATTTTCATCAGGGATATTGGTCTAAAATTCTCTTTTTTTGTTATGTCTCTGCCAGGCTTTGGTATCAAGATGATGCTGGCCTCCTAAAATGAGTGAGGGAGGATTCCCTCTTTTTCTATTGATTGGAATAGTTTCAGAAGGAATGGTACCAGCTCCTCTTTGTACCTCTGGTAGAATTTGGCTATCAATCTGTCTGGTCCTGGACTTTTTTTTTTTGGTAGGCTATTTATTATTGCCTCAATTTCAGAGCCTGTTATTGGTCCATTCAGATATTCAACTTCTTCCTGGTTTAGTCTTCGGAGGGTGTATGTGTCCTGGAATTTATCCATTGTCGAGACCAGCGGGGTCAGGAAGACCCTAACCCAGTGGTGCTAGAGGAATTAAAGACACACACACAGAAATATAGAGGTGTGAAGTGGGAAATCAGGGGTCTCACAGCCTTCAGAGCTGAGAGTCTCAAACAGAGATTTACCCATGCATTTATTAACAGCATGCCAGTCGTTAGCATTGTTTCTATAGATATTAAATTAACTTAAAGTATCCCTTATGGGAAACGAAGGGATAGGCAGAATTAAAGGAATAGGTTGGTCTAGTTAACTACAGCAGGAACATGCCCTTAAAGACACAGATCGCTTATGCTTTTGTTTGTGGCTTAGGAATGCCTTTAAGCAGTTTTCCACCCTGGGTGGGTCAGGTGTTCCTTGCCCTCATTCCTGTAAACCCACAACCTTCCAGCTTGGGCGTTAGGGTCATTATGAACATGTTACAATGCTGCAGAGATTTTGTTTATGGCCAGTTTTGGGGCCAGTTTATGGCTGGATTTTGGGGGGCTTGCTCCCAACAATCCACTTCTTCTAGATTTTCTAGTTTATTTGTGTAGAGGTGTTTATAGTAAGTATTCTCTGATGGTAGTTTGTATTTCTGTGGGATTGGTGGTAATATCCCTTTTATCATTTTTTATTGTGTCTATTTCATTCTTCTTTTATTCTTTATTATTCTGGCTAGCTGCCTATCAATTTTGTTGATCTTTAAAAAAAAAAAACAGCTCCTGGATTCATTGATTTTTTTGAAGGGTTTTTTGTGTCTCTATCTCCTTCAGTTCTGCTCTGATCTTAGTTACTTCTTGCCTTCTGCTGGCTTTTGAATGTGTTTGCTCTTGCTTCTCTAGTTCTTTTCATTGTGATGTTAGGGTGTCAATTTTAGATCTTTCCTGCTTTCTCTTGTGGGTATTTATTGCTATAAATTTCTGCCTACACACCGCTTTAAATGTGTCCCAGCGATTCTGGTATGTTGCATCTTCGTTCTCATTGGTTTCAAAGAACATCTTTATTTCTGCCTTCATTTTGTTATTTACCCAGTAGTCATTCAGGAGCAGGTAGTTCAGTCTCCAGGTAGTTGTGTGGTTTTGAGTGAGTTTCTTAATCCTGAGTTCTAATTTGATAGCTCTGTGATCTGAGAGACAGTTTGTTGTGATATCTGTTCTTTTACATTTGCTGAGGAGTGCTTTATTTCCAAATATGTGGTCAATTGTGGAATAAGTGCGATGTGGTGCTGAGAAGAATGTATATTCTTTTAATTTGGGGTGAAGAGTTCTGTAGATGCCTATTAGGTCTGCTTGGTGCAGAGTTGAGTTGAAGTCCTGGATGTCCTTGTTAACTTTCTGTGTCGTTGATCTAATATTGACAGTGGGGTGTTAAAGTCTCCCATTATTATTGTGTGGGAGTCTAAGTCTCTTTGTAGGTCTCTGAGGACTTGCTTTATGAATCTGGGTGCTCCTGTATTGGGTGCATATATATTTAGGATTGTTAGATCTTCTTGATGAATTGATCCCTTTATCATTATGTAATGGCCTTCTTTGTCTCTTTTGATCTTTGATGGATTAAAGTCTGTTTTATCAGAGACTAGGATTGCAACTCCTGCTTTTTTTGTTTTCCATTTGCTTGGTAGATCTTGCTCCATCCCTTTATTTTGAGCCTATGTGTGTCTCTGTACGTGAGATGGGTCTCCTGAATACAGCACACTGATGGGTCTTGACTCTTTATCTAGTTTGCCAGTCTGTGTCTTTTAATTGGACCATTTAGCCCATTTACATTTAAGGTTAATATTGTTATGTGTGAATTTGATCCTGTCATTATAACGTTACCTGGCTATTTTGCCCGTTAGTTGATGCAGTTTCTTCCTAGCATCGATGGTCTTTACAATTTGGCATGTTTTTGCAGTGGCTGGTACTCGCCATTCCTTTCCATGTTTAGTGCTTCCTTCAGGATCTCTTGTAAGGCAGGCCTGGAGGTAACAAAATCTCTCAGCATTTGCTTGTCTGTAAAGGATTTTATTTCTCTTTCACTTATGAAGCTTAGTTTGGCTGGATATGAAATTCTGGGTTGAAAATTATTTTCTTCAGGAATGTTGAATATTGTCCCCCACTCTCTTCTGGCTTGTAGAGTTTCTGCTGAGAGATCTGCTGTTAGTCTGATGGGCTTCCCTTTGTGGGTAACCCGACCTTTCTCTCTGGCTGCCCTTAACATTTTTTCTTCATTTCAAACTTGCTGAATCTAACAATTATGTGTCTTGGGGCTGCTCTTCTCGAGGAGTATCTTTGTGGTGTTCTTTATATTTCCTGAATGTAAATGTTGGCCTGCCTTGCTAGGTTGGGGAAGTTCTCCTATATAATATCCTGAAGAGAGTTTTCCAACTTGGTTCCATTCTCCCCGTCACTTTTGGTACACCAATCAAATGTAGATTTGGTCTTTTCACATAGTCCCATATTTCTTGGAGGCTTTGTTCACATCTTTTTACTCTTTTTTCTCTAAACTTCTGTTCTTGCTTTATTTCACTGATTTCATCTTCAATCACTGATACCCTTTGTTCCACTTGATTGAATCAGCTACTGAAGCTTGTGCATGAGTCACATAGTTCTTGTGCATGGTTTTCAGCTCCATCAGGTCATTTAAGGTCTTCTCTACATTGTTTATTCTAGTTAGTCATTCGTCTAATCTTCCTAAGCTTCCTTGTAATGGGTTCGAACATCCTCCTTTATCTCGGAGAACTTTGTTATTACCAACGTTCTGAAGCCTTCTTCTGTCAACTCGTCAAAGTCATTCTCCATTCAACTTTGTTCCATTGCAGCAAGGAGCTGCGATCCTTTGGAGGAGAAGAGGCATTCTGGTTTTTAGAATTTTCAGCTTTTCAGCTCTGGTTTCTCCCCATCTTTGTGGTTTTATCTACCTTTGGTCTTTGATGTTGGTGACCTACAGATGGGGTTTTGGTGTGGACGTCCTTTTTGTTGATGTTGATGCTATTTCTTTCTGTTTGTTAGTTTTCCTTCTAACAGACAGGTCCCTCAGCTGCAGGTCTGTTGGAGTTTGTTGGAGGTCCACTCCAGACCCTATTTGCCTGGGTATCACCAGCAGAGGCTGCAGAACAGCAAATATTGCAGAACAGTAAATATTGCTGCCTGATCCTTCCTCTGGAAGCTTCGTCCCAGAGGGCACCTGCCTAAATGAGGTGTCAGTCAGCCCCTACTGGGAGGTGTCTCCCAGTTAGGCTACACAGGGGCCAGGGACCCACTTGAGGAGGCAGTCTGTCTGTTCTCAGAGTTCAAATGCCATGCTGGGACAACCACTGCTCTCTTCAGAGCTGTCAGACAGGGATGTTTCAGTCTTCAGAACTTTCTGCTACCTTTTGTTCAGCTATGCCCTGGCCCCAGAGATGGAGTCAACAGGCAGCAGGTCTTGCTGAGCTGCAGTGGACTCCGCCCAGTTCGACCTTCCCTGGATGCTTTGTTTACCTACTCAAGTCTCAGCAATGGCTGATGACCCTCCCCCTGCCAGGCTACTGCCTCACAGGTCAATCTCAGACTGCTGTGCTAGCAGTGAGCAAGGCCCCGGGGGTGAGGCACCTGCCAAGCCAGGTGTGGAATATAATCTCCTGGTGTGATATTTGCTAATACCATTGGAAAAGCACAGTATTTAGGAGGAAATGTCCGATTTTTCCAGGTACAGCTTATCATGGCTTCCCTTGGCTAGGAAAGGGAAATCTCCCGTCCCCTTGCACTTCCGGGGTGAGGCGATGCCCTGGCTGCTTTGGCTCACCCTCCTTAGGCTGCACCCACTGTCCAGCTAGTCCCAGTGAGATGAACCAGGTACCTCAGTTGGAAATGCAGAAATCACCCATCTTCTGTGTCGATCATGCTGGGAGCTGCAGACCAGTGCTATTCCTATTCAGCTATCTGAGAAGCACTATTATGTCTTACATGACGTAACTTGATTTACCTTTCCCAAATGAAAATTAATAAGGGTTGTACCTCAAGATGTTAGTAAAAGGTCATTGCTTTATATTTAATTTTTCTAAATTCAATTATTCCGTCTTGGTAAAAACAGACGAAAGGAGGAGTTGGTCAAAGAGAAGGAAACAAATCATTTAAATTGGGTCACAATTCTGGCCTGCCATCTCACTAAATGACCATGAGATGAAAAGCAAGTCTGCTCTTCTCAGATCAGGCTCAGTTCTTGGTGCCTGTCAACATGAAGCTGTTTTAAAATGTGGTCTTTTGGTGTGACATGGTCCCTACAGGCAAACCTGCTATACTACTTAATGTTCAATCAGAGAAATCAACAATTTGTTTTAACATTGAAGGAAAAATTGACAGTGCTGGATATATTGAGAGGTGGGCTGTGGGTCTCCAAAAAGGTCACTTCCAAAGGACTTTCCAGAACTAGTTACGTTTAAATTCATTTTCCTTACTGATTGTCAAATCTAATCACTAAGTAGCAATATAAGTCCCTTGTATTGAGATATAATACCATTTATATTGTATGCCTGGTGCTAGTATGTCAATTTGTTCAATACTCATAATAAGCCTATACTTATATTTATACATCTATACTATCCTATGAACTTTTCATTTTAATTGTGAAGGAACTGAGGAACACAGAGATTTGACAACCTGCCAGCATCATACATTTGGTAAGAGTAGAGCTTGGGTTTCAAATCCAGGCAGTCTGGCTCTGAAATCTGAGCCTCTTTAAGACTAGGATATAATTTTATGAATAAATATAGACTTACTTTTTTAAAAGTTTTATTTTTATTTTTATATGGGTGCCCGGGCTTAGGGATTGAGGGGAGCGGGTGCTCAGGGAAGGGGCTAAATATTGACTTTAGCAACCCAAAAATGGTTACTTCCAAGCAAAGGAAAAATTTCTTCTCATCTTCTACCAGTCAATATGAAGACACTGAATTCACTATGTAGCCAGAAATGTAATAAAATATTTGAAGACTGAAAAAAAAAAAGTATAGAATGGACAGATCACTGCTGCTGAGAAAAATGAAAAGCTCTTAAAGGCCACAGGCAAAGCTTCATTGGCCTCCTCAGGGGCCCAGAGGTAACCCTACTCCTTTCTGGGAATTAATGGTTTGCATATTCTTCATTGTCCGTGTCCTTCCCCACCTAGACTGTGAACATCTCAATGGGTGTCTTAACTCTGCTGTCTTAATCATACTAGAATCTAAAGTGCTTAGTACAGTGCCTGGTACATAATAAATGCTTTCAAATGTGTTGAATGAAATACTAAATGAATGAAAAAGATAATAAAATTGTAATTCATATGGTGACTGGATTTTTGTTCTTCTTTATCTCTCTCTAATAGAGCATACATTATTCAGTAACCTTGAGGCTGATGCTTTTCACTCTTACAAGCCCCAGGTAATTATGCTGTCCTGAAAACACCCATTAAGGCCGTTGTGCAAAATCCTCAGATGTTTATCTCTAGGGGCGGTAAGTGACCTAAGGCAATTTTTGGAAGCAGTGATAGTGCCATTAAAACTAGTAGAAAGTGGTCACTATCTTTTCTGTATGTGATAAGCTCACTGTCTTTATTGTCACCTTCATAATAAGAGAAAACATTTTACTTTATTTATTTATTTTCTGAAGGGTGTGGATAATGAATTGGTAAGAGAGAGGCTAAATCCTTTGCTGACTTCTAATGATGAGCAAAAAAGACAGTTCGAGTTCAAGGGTGTTTTCTCTGAGACAGAGTTTTTCACCTCAGGGCAATCGATGCTTCTTTGTGAAACCAAACCTGCTAATTGGCATCCTCCTCTGACAATGCCTACATTGGGTCCCTGGAACCCAGTAAGTATCTAGGGCCCCTGGCTATCTAGCAATCATGGGAACAAGAGGGGAATAAATTATCATTAAAGACTCATTGTTCTCCACAGCTGGGAGTTTGGGCATTTAAAAGCGTCAAAATGTGCTAGGTCATTTAATAATTTACTTCCTGAAGTAGATTCTAATTCTAATTGAAATGTATGTTTTACTTAGCACTAGGTGGGAAACGTAGAACCACACGTTTGAAGGGATCTCTTTGAAAGCTGCTTGCTTTGGTTTTATTGAATAGCTTTGCCTTCAGCTTTGCAACTATGTATTCTAGTTTATATGGTCTTTATAAAGATAACTATTCTTGTAAATCTGGCATAGGTTTAGTTTTTTTCCCTAGGCTTTGCTCACAGAATTCAGACGCCTGACTCTGGAACAGAAAGTGAACATGCGTGCTTTGCAGATGATTCTGACTTAAACATATGGCTATTATGTTGTACATTTTAAAAATGATATTTAATGCAGCGATTCCTGCTTTCCATATGGTTTGATTTTGTTTTCCCCCTCCCTTCCAATCCCATGCAGGTTAGTTCTTCGCCTACTACGTCACAGCCTTGTGGGGATGTGTTCATCAGGGTCAGAGCATGACAACATGTCAGCTTGCACATTGTATATAGCTGGCACTCTTTTAGCTGGAAGCAACACAAGCTAGTTTAAACAATTGGGACAATTATCATCTCACTAAATGGAAAGTTCAGAGTCAGGGCAAACTCCATGTTTAATCAGCAGCCCAGTATGGTCACCAAACCCCTAGGATTTTTCTTTCCATCCTGCTCATTTCAATGTCACGTTCATCCAAAGCCTGGTTCCTCTCATAAATCTCAAGAAGGCTCATGGGTTAATCAGACCTTTATTCTTTCTTGTTTTTGCCAGCAGGAGAGAGAATGATGATCTTCCAACAGGAAAGATCTTTGCTGTCAGCCTAGTTGGGCCATCAGAGGCCTCACACCAAGCGTAGTTGTCAAGGGAATGTGAATTGGGTTTGACCGTCAATGTCCAATATGGTGGCCACTAGCCTTGAAATATGGCTAGTCCAAAATGACATGCACTGTAAGTGAAAAAGATACACTGGATTTTAAAGATGTAATATGAAAAAAATGTAATATAGCTCATTAATAATTTCTATATTGATTATATTGACAATATATTTCAGATAGATTAAATAAAATACATTATTAAAATTGATTTACCTGTTTCTTTTTACTTTTCAAAAAATGTGACTGCTAGAACACTTTAAATTACATATATGGCTTCCCATATTTCTATTGGACGGCGCTAGTTAACTAATCGAGATTCCCTCTGAAGTAGGAGTGAGCTACACACTCGAATGAAATTTAAGGTTTTCTTAGAAAAAGGAAAGGAAGAATCAGTGTTAAGTAAGCAGCCACATGGTCTACTTTGTCTGGAGGACCATTTTTTTAATTGCTCTCTTGTTTTTATTCTAACTTCTAATTGGTGGCTGGAGGATATAAGAAAATCAGTAGTAACATGTGGGTTTCGTTGGGGACCAGGACAGCTTTTTCCAAGCATTCCAAACTATGTACTATGTGGGAATTTTGAGACAGCAGAGATGTCATATATTGTTCTTGATTGCCAAGTAAGTTCACTGGGAACAACGTTGGGTTGAGGTCACAGGCCTGAATCCTTTTCCACTGCTTAAACAATTTTATTTTGTTTCATGTTCAGCATTTATTCTGTTATTAAAGCAATATGTAACAGTGGCACCAAATATGTAAAAATGATTAATACACTGTGGGGCACAGGAGACCTTTCCTGGTGTCAGTTGCTCGTTGCTTTCCACTCTACAACATTTCTCTTTTTTTTCCTTTTTGTTTCTTGCCTTACACTCACAGGCAGAAGGACCCCTTTTCACACTTACCTTACTGTAGGTAACCTCTGTCTGTTTCACAGCTAATTGTGCAACGAAGAACAAGGATTTCATAGAGTTTGCAGAATAATCGGGAAGCCTGTAGACATTAGTGAAGAAAAATTCTTAACAAATTGTACATTACTGTCAAGATGGCCAATTGTAAAGCCAAGACTCTTCCTTGAGAAAAGTCTCTCATCATCAAAGGTGTGTATGCAGGGCAGGACGATATTCTGCTTTAGGTTCAACTCACCCCAGGGCTGGTATTCTCCTTGCACACAGTAGCACAGCCTACACCAGGAGCTGCACTATTGAAATCCTTCTGTGGAGTTACTAAATAGCTGCTGCCCAAAACCCCCACATTCCTTTCTTACCATCCTGGCTTTTCTGGCCTCTCCCCCTGAAATCTGGCAGTGAAGATGCAGAAGGGACCTCCAGGGTCATCTTGGTGCTGAAGGGACTTCCAGGACTCTGCCACACTTTTAAACAATGCTTCAACTGCCCAACATTAAAATCTGCCTTACACTAGTGATCAGTTTCCATCTTAACAAAGAGACAAAGGAAAACAAAATATCTGGAATGAAAACTAAGAAGGCGAAGGGCCGGGCGCAGTGGCTCACACCTGTAATCCAGCACTTTGGGAGGCCGAGGTGGGTGGATCACGAGGTCAGGAGTTTGAGACCAGCCTGCCCAACATAGTGAAACCCCGTCTCTACTAAAAATACGAAACTTAGCCAAGTGTGGTAGCGTTCACCTGTAGTCCCAGCTACTCGGGAGGCTGATGCAGCAGAATTGCTTGAACCTAGGAGGTGGAGGTTGTAGTGAGCTGAGATAGTGCCATTGCACTCCAGCATGGGCAACAAGAGTGAAACTCCATCTCAAAAAAAGAAAAAAAAAAAAAAGAAAGAAAGAAAAGGAAAAACAAATCTAAGAAGGCAACTTAATGCTTTCTTTGATGATTTCTAATAAAAAACAAAATCATTGTAATTTTTTATTAATACACACCATTTAAAGACTTCTCTTGAAGAGTCATAGTGAAGCAGAAGGAAGACTAGCACTTTGTGATGTGATAACTAGATTCCAGTTTTATCCTGACACTGGCCACCTGTGTGAACTTGGTAAGTTTCATCATTTCTGCAAGCCTCACTTCCTCATGAGTAAAAAGCAATAATGCCAGTTCCCACTTCAGAGTTATGAGGGTAAAAATCAAATAAAATATGAAAGCAGCCAGCCCTGTTCTTGACACATCACCAACGCTTGATAAGCTCTGGTCAAATTAGAATTTGAGAAGCTGGAGAACAACTGCATGAAAAGATTTTTTGTAACTTTGTATTGAAGTAAGACACACAGGCAGAAAATGCAAATTACTGTATTTAATGTAATGAATTCCTGTAGAGAGAACACATGTAACCAGCACCCCCATCAGGAAATTAAACATTATCCATACCCCAGGAGTCCCCTCCTGCCTCCTTCCAGTCACCCATCCCCAAGGAACTTTTCATGCCAAACTGATTGTTTTAATGTGGGAACCGAATATTGCACATGCTCTGATGGGCTTAAGTGCTTAAAAACAAACAAAAAGGGTTCAGGTGAGTTGTTCTCCAGACTGAATGGAGAACCTGCGATAGATTAAGTAGAGGCGCGTTAAAGACAAGCACACAATCTCTCACTCACGCCTACACTCACACAATCATACGCTGCAAATGTGTAAGGACTTCCTGTTCTGTGAACAATGCCAGGTTAGGGATTATGGCATTTGCAAACGTGCTCCCGCTTCTCCAGAATTTTTTTTTTTTTTTTTTTTTTGAGAAGAAGTCTCACTCTGTCACCCAGGCTGGAGTGCACTAGAGTGATCTCAGTTCACTGCAACCTCCACCTCCCAGGTTCAAGCAATTCTCCTGCCTTAGCCTCCCAAGTACCTGAGATTACAGGTGCATGCCACTGCACTAAGCTAATTTTAGTAGAGATGAGGTTTTACCATGTTGTACAGGCTGGTCTTGAACTCCTGACCTCAGGTGATCTGCCCACCTTGGCCTTCCAAAGTGCTGCGATTACAGGCATGAGCTACTAGCACCTGGCCAGGATTTTTACGAAAGGAGCAGCATAAGCAAAACGGGAAACCACTGTCTCGGGGTCAGCAAGTCTGGTTTCTCCTACTCTGCTAGTGAACTGAAGCCTAGGGTTGGGGTAGACCAGAGAAGGCATGAATGCCAGGCAAAGGATGTCTGCAGGCAGTATGGAGTGACTGGATGCTTTTGAGTGCAGGGTGACAAGGCGAAAATATTTTTATTGTGGAGGATGTATCTGGGAAAAGAGGGACTAGCCACAGAAAGTCAGTGAGGAGGCTCTGCGAAACAGTCTAAGCCAATGAAGCCTCAGAATCACCTAGAGAGGCTTAAGCCACAGATTGCTGGGATCCTTCCCCAGGGTTGCTGCTTTAGAGGGTCTAGTTAATCTGAGAATTTATATTTTGTTTCCAGGTAATACACTTTGAGAATCACAGTTCTGAGCCAAAAGTTCTCAACACTCACAATACATTAGACTCATCTAGAGAGTGTTTTACAAACACCCTTGCCCACGTCTCACCTCCAAAAAAGCCTAGGGTTTAATTAGTCTGGGGTAAAGCCTGGGCATTAACATTTTCTAAGAATGATTCTATCGCATCACCAATTTTGGGAACCACTTATCTAGACAGGGATTCTGGAATGTGGCTCCTTATCAGAATTACCCAGGGAGCATAATAAATAGATTCCTGGGCGCCACCTCAGATAAAGGACATGTAGAGTGGAGCCCTGGCATTCCTATGCTTGATCTTTACAGACTGGTCACGCTGATACAGATGGTTCCCACACTGGCTTTTGGGAACTGCTGGTCTGGAAAGGCAAATGAGGACACAAACCCTAAAAACAAAGTATGAGGAATAGCAATAAATGAGAGCTCCTAGGATTTTCTGACTGTTGAGATGGGCAGACCATGGAATGGAATTGAAGCCCAGAGGGTGGGAAATCTATATACGGGTCACAGGAAAGCCTTGTGTGGCCGTCAAGGTGTGGCCATAGAAGACTGCTGGTCGCACAAAGAGCCACAACTTGAATGAGTTATCTTCCTGCCAACAGCCTGACACATCCAGACACCCCATCTTATCAAACCCTGACAATTAGTGGGTGCTAATTCATGCTGACTAAGTCCTAGGAGGTTCAAGTCTCTAACATAGCATGCAACTGTTAATTTTCACTGAGAAACAATAACAACCAAGGTAGCCAAACACTTGTATTCTTCCCATGGGTAAATTACACAGAAAGCCAAATTGTCATCAGAAAGTTGCTGGGTAGAGATGGAATCAGAGCAGAGAGGAGTTAATTGCAGGATTCAAATGTTTAGGGGCATCAGGTTGTGATAGCTGGGTGCCTCCTCCTCTACAAGTAAATATTTGGAGGAGTCTGAAAAGACACAGCCTCTAATGGACAGTTCCTAATGGCCACAACCAGTATTTGCCCCAGTGACTCTGCTGGGTTTATGCTCCACCATCCGCAGGCTAATTAATTCATTAAGTCTTTAGATATATGAATATCCTCAATCAAATGAGGCTCATCTTGCTCACTCTTGAGTCCCTGTGTTTCTTAGGGTGATTTTGCATATCTCTCACCTGAACAATGACGTAGTTTACAGTGTAGTTCTAAGAGGATAATTCCATTTTCCTTAATACTACACTTCTGGAGTGGTAGTATAAGGGAAAAATACCGTTGCCACATAGAGTTCAATTTCACTATTTTAGCAACGATTAGTCTTATTTTATGCGGCAGAATTAGAGGCTAATATTTTAATTATTTTTATGTTTCTTCAAAGCATAATATACTGTCATGGTTAAAAGAGACCTAGTTAACCCTGAGCATATGAAGCCTTTATGCTCAGATCATGAGGACACAATACTGGGTTACTTCTCACCTACTATGAGCTTCCTCGAAAAGCAGGCAGGCAACTGTAGTTAGAAAACAAAGAATTCAGTTCTGCAAGTGTGCCTGGCAACCTAAATCTGCAAAGTGATGGCAAACGTCCCAACCATATTTTAGCTTTACAATTATGTTGATGATGAAACAGGCTCTTTGTGAGAGCCAAAAGTAGAACAAAGCATTTGTATCATGCTTGATAAAGATAACAAGAGAAATAAATCCAAACCATAGCATTTAGTTGGCTTCTTGAGGAGAGAGAAGGAGTGGGAGTGATGAGATGTGGACTCCCCAAGTGCACATTTGTTGCTTAGTGACATGAGGAGCAGCTCTTTACCAGGAGGGGGAAGAAGATGCAGGTGGGGAATCCTTGAATCTGCTTTCTATAGAAGCAGACAGGATGTGTCTTCTCCGACCCCTTGATACTCTTCTATTTATGTCAGGCCTTCTGGGTGACTGTGCTCAGATTCTTATTTAAATCCAATTAAATCTGGGACTTGAGTAAACACAGATGTATATCATGCAGAAGATAGTAGTAAAGGATTCTGCATATAGGCCAGAGCAGCTGTATCTTTTCTGCTATTTAAGGTTTGGGTTTTTTCTTAGTATCTTGGAAAGAAAAAGTGACAGTAAATATTGGCGGTTTTAATTTTATACAAAACCAGAGTCTCTCCTTTTTCTAGCCTTTCCCCTTGGCCTAGGCCAGATTGACTTTATTAAAACAATCTGATCAGGCCCCTCTCCTTCCCGTGGCTCCCCACTGTCCACAGAAAAACGTTCATTCCCAAGGGGACCTCAGACTTCCTTCATGACGGGTTCCCCCTTGGCCGCATAGCCTAACATCCTGCCACTTTTCTCCTCGCATAGAATATTCCATCCAATGCAGACTTTTAGGGTGTCCCCAGTTCAGAGCTCTTTCACTTCTGTACACTTCATTTACCTCCTTTACCTTGCCTGAAAGTGAGAATTACAGAGTCTGGAGCAAAACTTCCACCCGTTATGGCTCTGCATCTTCATTAGTGGTGTGACCTTAGGCAAATTATTTAATCTCTCAGTGCCTCAGTTTCCTCCTGTCCAGTAAAAGGATGGTAGTGGCTAACCTAGGCTCACAAGGTTGTTGGCCTTAAATGCATTAATGCATAAAAAATGCAGAGCAGTGCCTGGCACATAGGAAATAGTTAATATTTTTAACTTCTACATATACTACAAGACTAAGCCTAAACATTATTTTCTGTGGGAAGTCTTAAACTGTCAGATGTAAGATAATTCTCAACCAAGGGTGATTTTGCACCACCACCCTCCCGAGGATTTTTGGCAATGTCTGGAGACATTTTTGGTCATCTCAAACAGTGGAATGCTACCAGTAGAGGCCAGGAATGCTGGTAAAAAAATTTAAAAATCTGCATTGCACAGAACAGCTGTTCCACAGCAAGGAGTCATCAGGCCCAAAGTGTCAACAGTGCCAAAGTTGAGAAATTCTGACAAAAGGCATACTATGACATTTCTTAATATTCAGTCTATTAATATTTGTTCTTATGTCTTTATTGAAGACAACAAAACATAGCAATAATACCTAAGTTTTGTAAACTATCTCAGTGTAGCTCAGAATTGTAGCTTTTCAACTTGCCATTCTGGCTATCTTAGTCAGCCAGCTGTTAGTATTGAGCCAGGTGTCATTCTATGCACTTTGCCTTTATTAATTCATTTAACCCTAACAACAACTCTATAAGGTAAGTGCTTTATTGCCCTTGTTTTACAGACGAGGAAGCTAAGGCAAAGTGACAAAGTAGAGTTTGAACTCAGTCTTGCTCCAGAAATTATGCAGAGTCGGTTAAGACTGAGTCCCCCACTAGAAGTCATCTTCCTGTCTTAAATGATTTATAATGGTTGTTTTATTTTCCTTTTATTGTCATCTTTGGCAGAGAAATTGACTCTGGTTTGTTCAGTCTTCTTAACAGAGGACCTACTAATTTTGAGATGTTAGGGTGATTAGAGAGGAAAATACCAGCAACACAAAAAGGGGAATAAGAAAATAAACCTCTGAAGAATTTGATGCTTGAGTCTAGTGATGTATGTAAAAGCACTTTGCAAGTTGTAAGGCAGTGGTTTTCAAACTATGATGTATTCCAGAACAACCAGGAGAGCTTGTTAAAAATGCCGACTTCCCAGTGTCACCCTCAGAGATTCTGATTGCATGAATCTGGGGCCTTGCCCAGGAATCTGCTTTTTTAACAAGCTCCCAGGTGACCTTGATGCAGGTGGTCCACTTGCTCACCTTGGAAACACTGCTGTACATATGGGGCTTAGAAGCGAGAGCTAGCAAATCCCAGAAGAATACTTGAGTTTTTGCCTGTAGAATAATTCAAACCACCTGAGTTGGAGCTTATTAGTGCTTTTCTGGTTCCCCGGTAACTCACTAGCTTTAGGCCAAGGAGCTTGATTGAGAGGGTATTGACGGGGAGGAAGGAGAGGAAAAGAAAGGAATAAGGCCAATTAAAATCACCTTCCCACTGAGGTGATTGTTTCTCTGTGGACAATGAAGGAGCTGTGGAGCACCTTCTTCCTTCAGTGTCTCCCTAATTGGCTGTTGTGACTATCATTCTGCCCTGAGGGAGGTTAATAGAAACAAGAGAGAGAAGAAAAGGATGCCAAGTAACTTAGAGCAGGAACAAAAAAGAAGCTGGCGCTCATTTCCACCAGGACAGAGAGAAGCCCTGATTGGTCTCTTTCCCTAAGGTCCTCTTTCATACATCTCTACGACCTTTCCCCTCCTTTTTTCTTTTCTCCCTCAGAGGGACCAATAAGCATGGGTTGTCTGGACAAGCAGTGCTTTATTAATGATCCAGGGAAAATTCTGATGACCCAGAATTCTGCCATAAAGTGATATCGTGTTATTGCAAAGTGATCGTGTTCTTAACCTTCTTGCTGAACCACGTTTTTTTTTGGCAGGGGGGTGGGATGAACAACAGCCAGAGGTTCTTTTATTCTGAGCATCTTTCCAAGAGATCAGTTGAGTTATCTGGATTTTCATACTGGACCGTTACATGACATGCATTAACAACGTATGCTATAAACAACTTACCTTTCACTGAGCTAAGTAATTTAAAGTAATTTTAGCAATATCATATGGCATCGTGATTAAGATTTCCTGGCTTCAATCCTAGCTCTGCAAATCACTAACTGTGTGTCCTCGAAGGTGACTTTACATCTCTAAGCTGCAGGTTCCAATCTGTAAAACTGAGATAATAATAGGACCTCCCTCCCAACATACAAACACACATACAACAGCGAATTGTTATGACCACCAAATGAGACAATACACGTAAAATATAATGCCTCAGCCACAGTAAGCCCACGATAACGTTGGCCTCCATTGTTTTTTACTTTGCTGAATTATTGTTTGATATTTCTAAATAACTGCTGAATTGCTAGACAAAAAAAAAAAAAAAAAAAAAACAAGAAAAAAAGGCACGTTTTTTAAAAGTGTTTCCTCTCTATTAGCATTGAACTTCAAATGCTCATAGCACACTGTAAGCAGAGCAACAGATGGATTCTATCCAACGGGAAGGACACACAACTTAGGAAGCAAACAGACATAGGAGAGCAAGATAAATCACTTAGTTGCTTACCACACACATTGTGAGACACTGAATGTGTATCAGAAGTTTCTTACCAATAGTTGGGCCTCCATTTCTTGAATGGTTTTATATTTCCAGACTGCAAACAAATGATTGTATGTGTGAAAAAAATATGGAATAGGCAGGAGGACAAATTCAAGTGAACCAGAATACCAGGGGCTCTGGTGTTCTCTTGGAGCTCTCTGCACCGGGTAAATCCTCTGAGCGTAGGCTTGCTGACAGCGGTCTCATTTACACGCAGGTTCCTCCCGGGTATAGCTCCGAGAGTAACAGCCCCCAGTCAGTGCAGGGTTACCAAGCAACTATACTCCCACGGAGGTATGAAATAAGAGAAAGTCTTGATTTTAAAAACAAAAGAAAACCAAAACACCCTGGTAAGCATAGCTAATAATATAACCTGCTCTTCTCCTTTGAGTATACTAACCCTCAAGCTAGTTTACCTTTACCAGCGTATCACAACCACATGGAAATCAAATTAGAAAGCATGCTGCAATTGTATAAAGTAACTTCAAGCAATGTTTTAAATTACTGCTAATAAATTTCATGTTAAAATGGCACCTCATATAGTGAACCCTTTTGTGTGTATCATCTCTCAACTGCGCACCTTAATGGAGGGTGATTGTCATTTGAATAATGGTTTTAGCAACTAAGTCAATGTTTAGTTTTAGACTTAATTTTTTTATTGTTTTTGTATTATCTAAGTTATACATTATTATGACAAAAATTATTTTTGAAGTAGCTAGTACAAAGATGATGACCAGTAATCATTGACTGGATCTTTAGAGTTTAAGGATTACAAATAGATCTGTACATGTTTACATGTTCCCTACATATCCCCTTAGGATGACACAGGGAAACACTTCCTTGTTTTGATTCTTTGATTAACATTTGCTAAGCACTCAATTTGTGCGAGCACTATGTGAGACACTGGAGTTGAAGAGGGAGAAGGAAGAAGATGTACAAAGAGACAATACAAGGTCCAACCATTCAAAGAAGTGTTGTATAGTTTTAATGAAGGAGATAAAATTGTACACAGATACTACAGAAGGCAATGAAAGGAGGAATTAGGATACTCTGAATGATGTAATAATTATAGAAATCACTAGCTTCAAATTGCCAAATTAGAACATTACAGTTCTAATCTACTGGGACAGGGCAGGAGAGCAGTACAGAGGGAATGTTAAAGAATTAGAGCTCTCAAATAGAAATGAAGCTGGATCTGACAGCTTTCTATACCTTCCAGCCTTTTCAATATCACGGTGTGTGTGCATAGATAGATAGATAGTTGATAGATAGATAGATAGATAGATAGATAGATAGATAGACAGACATAATTTTATTTTTACAATGCATCAAGGCATAAAGGATTTGTGTCAGAGGAAAACAAGTCACCAGCGACCTAGGCCTTGTCCAGCTGCTTCCAAGGTTAACAAGACTGGTGTCCCTGAGGCCCACCATACCCATTGAGAAACTCTGCGTATTTTAGACATGCTCCTTACATAGATTTGCCCACTAGAGAGTCAGAATCTCAAATATAATATGAAGGAATGTTGGCCCAAGCACAGTTGATATGGATGTGGATGTGTGATGTGCCATGGTTAGCAAGGCAATCTGAGTCGGGATGGAACTCCAGCCTGAACACCCACTAGCTTCCATCACCTTGGCAAGTTAACTCACTCCTCTAAGCTTCATGGAAATGTCACTAATAAAATGGAATGCTCTGCTGAGCCATGTTGGAGCCTGAAACAAAAGGAAGACTGCGTGTTCCTATATACCTTATCAAAATAGCCCCTTTATTGTGAATCAAATGGGAATAGTTAATTGAAGTTTTCAGGGGCAAATCATGACTTCTGTTTAAAGCTTTGCATTGCCCAATCTGTTTGCATGACATTATCAACCCTAATAAACCGGCTGGTGGGGCATGCTGTTGATTGGAAATGACTGTTCCTGTTGCACAATAATACAGAGTTGTAGAGCAAAACAGCCTGTTTTTATTTAAAATTATGATGGTGTTTATGCTTAGTGAATGCTTGGCATTAATTTTTTTAAAATATTACATTACAATATTTTTACACTGAGTGCTGAGTTTTTTGGTTCGCCATTAAATGTTGCTTGCCCCTGTGGTGAATGCCTTACTCTCCTCACCCTAATTGGGATTCCAAAAAATGTACTTTGAAGGACCACTATAACTACAAATAAAGGCTATAAAATATCTTTATAAAATCTGTACTTAAAAGTAATAGTCATTGCTATCTGATTTTATAATACCTAACAGATTCCTTAGCTATTACTGAATGTGTTTTCTGAGAGTCCCTGGAAAAGCAGTGTGAATGAGAACAATACGCAGTTTATTCAACATGCTGAAAAGATACACAGTGAGTTCTGAAATCTGCCTCCGATCTGGTCACCAAGGAAATGTTGATGACCCTTAACCAGAATATACAAGGGAAAGGTGCTGGCCCAGCTGGGATTTCTCTTCTTCCAAGTTCTGGGAACCCTCTTGTGTATCCAAGACAATCTACTCTCTCATGTCCCCTCTGTCGCTTTAGACTCCCAACAATTACACTCAGATAGCTTTTAGTCTTTGCTTGTACCAAAAATGCTTGAAGTACTGAGTTTACCAATAGATTTCCATACACAATTCCTATTCCCTCCTTTAGGTTCAGCAAAATGCTGAAGGACAGCTTGACTAATTGTACCATCATTCCTTCTGTCTTCCTCATAGGTAACTCTTCTTTCTGGGCCAATATTGATTCTCTGTGGACAGACATGAGGATTTTAAATTCCCCCTTTGGCAGGAAGAATAACTTCCTGCCAGGAGTGTGACCCAATGTGTTTCCCTGTTAGCAGGTTTGCAGTGGTGGTTTCTTTCCTCAGCAGCAGCAGCAGCTGGAAAGCATTCCTGTTGAACCACTTCACGCCCAATACTGGGAGAGCTACAGAAAATAAACTAACATGAAACATCATCTGCCTTTGCCTCTGAGAATGATACCCCAGGGCAATTTGATGGCAAACACAATAAAGTCACCAATGTGCAGTTGCATTAAACAAATACAGAAAAATTAGCACATTGACTATTTCTAATTATCTCCATTTATTCTGTAATGTGGTGTCTAGAGGAAACGGTTCTGTGATAAATCTGCAAGATGTTGCTTTCAGCCTAGGAAGACAAATAAATAGGTACTGCTTTAGCTTTTCATTCTCTTGGTTGTTCACAGAGTGAAAAAAAAAAGAAAAAAGAAAAACCCCAACTACTTTAAAAATTGAAAAAATATTACCCATCAAAAGAGAAAGTGCTTACAAAAGGAAAGACTTGACAAAAAGTAATATGTAGACACAGCACCAGGCTTCTCACTTCTGATGAATTTGCAGCCTAAATACTAAAATATGCTGTTTCCCATTTCACCTTGTTTCCACAGAGACCAGGGCTGACAAAGAGCCCGTCACCAACAGTTACCGCCCTTTGTCTGCCCTGGTTGCTGAAGGCTGCATGAGCAGAGAATGAGCAAATGTGGGATAAATGTAAGCTGCTGATTTCATTCACACTTGGAACCTTATCTGTCTCCCATCTGAGTCACTAAGGAGCTCTCAGATTTGCCTGAATCGACTTATTTTACGCTCTGGCTTTTCTTCCATCTACCTTTTCTTCTTTGTGTGTAATAAAAATAACACAATAACACATGGAAAGATAGAAAGCAAAAAGTTAAGAATCACTGATAATTTTCAAAAAAATTTTTAAATCATCAAAAAATAAATACAAATAATATTTGGATATAGTTTCTTCCAGATTTTTCCCTGGCTCCTTCTCCTTATGTATGTATTCTCTATGTTCTTTCCCACTTATCTGAAATACCACTGAGGAAGTGAAATCCCAAGTATCCTTAGGTCTGTTTCTAGACTCAGTTTCAGTGACTTTTTTTTCCATATTAACTTGCAGAGTTCTGAGAGCTCATTAGATCCTTTGTAATGTGACTTCAGAGGAATTAGGGGAGAAGATCAGTCTGCTATGAGCACAAGGACTAGGTCTCCCAGCCTTCCTTTTACCAGATCAGCTTTTATTTTTTAAAAAACTGTGGACTTCTGTGTGAGATTTTTTTGTAGGGTACATGAAATTTTGATGTTATGCTTTTGTAGCAGCCATTCGAATGTGTCAATATTGATATTACTGTTTTCTAGTGACTATGCTTCCATACAGACTAAAGAGCAATGATACATATAAATCATACCTGAGTATTACATAAAATAGATTCCCTCACCTACTTCCTGAGTCAACTCTGGCCATGGTCACCCTCTTCTGATGTCCCCTATGATGCCTTCATCCATTCCAAGGAGAGAACAGAGTTCTCACAAGGCCTAGGCTCATCCCTGGCTGCTCTCAAATCACTAGTAATGGGAAATCCAGCTGTACTCCCTAAGACCAGAGAAATCCACAGTGGCTGAACCCAACTTGCTGCCTAGAGACTGACTGCCCACATGCTGCACTATTCTTGTCATAGTAACTTCCATATGCAAAATACGGAACTTCCGTGGCCCAATTGCTCCATGTCTGTCTTTGTCACCACCCTACTGCTGGATCCTTCTCCCTCACATTCCCCATACTCACTAACGAAGCTCTTTATGCCTCTCCACACTCATTTTCTGCTCCAACAGTAATCATTTTCCAGGATTACTGAAAGAGAAGGACTATTCTTTCTGGATTGGTAAAATATCCACTCTATAAACCAGCATGTGGCCTTCCCTCATGACCCAAGCAAGAAAATAATGAAAAAAGTTTTACACTGGCCTAACCTATTACCTATATATATGTAATATGCTTTATCTATCCTACCCATGAATACTTCATCAGAGAAGCCAAGGAAGCAAAGAAATCTGCTCATCTTCTAAGAGTTTGACTCATGTACATATTAAATGGTCTGGCCCTCAATACTGTGATTTCTCTCTTGATGTGGCTATGTTCTTGTTCATTTACATTCAATTAGTAAACAATTTGACTGTTTACTAATGGCATTTACTGAAGATCTAAAAGATATACACTTCTGTTTTTATGGAATTTCTCATTATTCTAAATCTAGTTGAATGAACGCAAAGTAGGTACAATGGGGCAGTAGATATGGGAATGGGGGGGATATTCAGACCGCATACAAATGATGGCCATTTATTCAATACTTTTGATGATTATGTTAATTATATTAGATTTATAATCATAGTTGATGAGGATAAAATATATTATTGGAGGCTAAGTTATAGGCTTTTGAAATA